CCCGACGGCGTCATACATTTCAATTTATACACATTAATTCATTTTTTCTTATTGTATTCAATGTACATATTTTCACATATTTGCACATATGCACATATTTCATTCCATTTTACTTACACTCCAATATGTATGTGTTTTATTTTGGAAAGATTTCAAGTGGAGAAGCAAAGTTCATTGTATCATCTATTCAACAAAGCTAACAAAATTTGATCACTTCAATGAAATAAATATTCCCGCAAGGCGTTTGCATACATATTGCCTACGGACGATGTTTGACAAAATCCATTCATAATTTCTGTATGGGATAAAATTGTCTTATTTTCACATAGCCATAGCTTTACCATATCGAATACATTATGATAATATTCACAAGAATTCAAAGAGTTTAACATGGCAATACGACACTACACCCATGTAAGTTATGAGAATCAGGTTGACATCTTGCTCATACAGCTCCATATCGACGTCACCTTTGGAGATTTCCACTCGTTTGACGTCACTTTCAATGAAATGAGTGACTTTTACCATATCGCCGCAACTTGATCCGAACTCGTCTGGGTAACCATCGACGTCACCTATGAAGAAATCAATATTTTTTTCTGATTTTTTGTTTCAGGATCACACAGGTACTAAAATCTCTCGTTGGACCACATCGAATTTTGTAGCAACGAATTTTCACTTTGGGCTTTAATTTCATACCTATTCAATGTCGCATCAAAACCATTATCATATTTAAATGAAATTGCATTCTCATACATATTCGACGCTTGATTGATATTACTATCATCATCGCTGTCAGGCAACGCCACTTCTTTGGTGCTGGTTAGGATACTATCGTAGTCGAATATTAGCTGAGTCGCCGGAGATATCCCGCTTCTCAATACTCGATTTGATTCTAATGCTCGATCAATAGCATTGAGAGTTGGCTCGATATCACTACTTGCACGATCGAACACTCCATCATAACCACTGACATAATTACCATCGAACGACATTTTCTTTTAAACTGAATATCCATCTCTGTTTGCATGCGCTCTCATAACTTCAGATCACGTGGTGAATTTCAGATATTGTGTGTGTTGAACACACAAATATTTCTTTACAAAAGGCCTTTTCAATACAATGTCAGTGTGCTTGGTTTCCATAAGATTCTATACACAATCGACGTTTTCGACCCAACTGTTGTGTTCGTTCTACAAACCTAACTATTTAACGTATTTTTTCTTACCTTCATTCCTCAACACTTTCTCCACGAGATATATATCAGGATTTGCAGTTTTTTGCAATTCTTCCTCATCGAAAGCAGAGGGTGGCAAGGTTAGTAATGTTGACTTTAATAATTTTGAATAATTCCGTAGTCCAATTGAGTGTGTAACCCTTGTTGAAAACGTGTTTCACCTTAATGATTTGCACAACTTTGTCGACTTTGAATTTTCTTGGTGCAGCTGTTTTCAGATGGGTGTATGTTAATTTAAAAAATTTTTTTTCGTTGGTTTTTTTGACTTTCGAAGGTTGTATGAGTGTCGCGTATCATTGTAGGATTTTGTGATTTCAGGTAAGACATCCAACCATTTGTAGGTGTCATTAAAACTGAAATATTTCAAAAGTTTTTCTTTCAACGTCCTAATGGTACGTTCAGCCATAGAAGCCTTAGTGATGCTGTACATATTGTAGTGATTCATTCCATGATTTCTCATCAAAGTTTGAAATTTATTGTTGTGAAATTCTGTCCCTTGATAGGTTTGTAGATTTTTTTGGGGAACGTTCCCTATGTTTTGGTGATTTCTTCTCCCGTTTTCGATTTCAGTGGTCGAGTCCACCCTAATTTCAAAAAAAAAAATCTATGACAACTAGATTTGAAATTTCGATATCGGTGAGCGTACGATCTCATCTCAGCCAAATCTATTTGCCATAAATGATCCAGTTCCCCGACGGCGTCGAGGAAAATTTGTTTATGAAGTTCACAAGTGAAATCTCGTCTTCGAAAGCCATAACTGTGCATAACATTGGAGGAATGTTCTGAAGATTTTTTGTTGATGACGAACTCCAACTTGTCAACATTCACACCTAATGTAGATATTTTCGATTCGACGTTAGATCGAAATTCTTTCAACTTTCCATCTATTTTCTTGATCAAAATATCAGTTTGCTTCATAGATTGCAAAATTTTGGCATTCTTTTCCTGAACCAAATCGGTGAGTTCTTTCAAACCTTTCGATACGGTTGAATTTTTCATGCAACTTTTGGAACTGTTCTGTAGCATGTTGAGTCCTTTGAAAGAGGTTGGCATTAACTGTTTCAATTTTTGTATAGAATTCAGTATCCAACTTATTGCCCTAATTTTTTATGAGTGTGTTGACATCATTTTTCATATCATTGCGCACTTTCATCATGAACTCAATCATTTTCAAATCAAAGTTAGTCATGTTTCTTTTTATGGAAGTAGTGAGGTTTTTCTTAACTCCATCCACGTACTCTTGACTGCATCTGATGCGTTCGGAGGTCTTTCCACATTACATAATTTCGAATTATCAAAATCGACATTGCAAACCTCAACCAGTGCCTACTGATGATGTTGCAGGATGCTTTCGCTTCCTATCGGAGCTACGCCTAAACTTGCCGATAGTCATGATGAAAATGTGGCACACACTGATATGATGTAGCATTCCTTATGTT